AAACCAACTTAGCTATCTAGGGGGCGCCACCTTATAGGAATGCAATCTATAAGTGAAGGTAACATTGCTGCATTGCTACATGCATTACTGCTTACATGTTTCATGTGCTTGGAACGAAGGCCCCAAAGAAGGGCACAACTTCAAGGCTCTGGGGACTGACGACACGGAGCAGGAAGAGTTTGAAGATATCTAAAATGCCACGAAACATATTCAGACCCAATCCAAAAGTTGCACGTAGATCTGGGTAGCAGCTGTATGTGCTATTATCTTCGATGAAATTTCGATACTGGATTACGGATGCACAACTGTGGTTGTTTTCTTTCAAGTGAGAGCAAAATCTGGCTCTGGACCTTTGTGGCAGCTTCCGTAGTCGACCTATAGTGCTGTGTGCAAATTACCCACAGGTATCAAACAGATAGAAAGGTAGCTCGGCTTGTGCGGTTCCACTGGTTAAAATAGATGGCATTGAACAAAATTCTGTGAGCTACCAGCACGTCTGGTCTATTTTTCAAATGCCTCTGGAACTTGTTGAGCAGTCTCAGTGACCGTGAGCGCAGCATCTGTGAAGTGGTAGCTGACGCCAGCAGCACTTGAATTCCGGATAGAACTCTGGAACTTTGTGGCAACAATCATGTTCAATCTGTATTGCCGTCTTGCCATGCTTCTTTTGCAAAGTTGCAACTTTGTGGCAACAAACATATTGAATCTGTATTGCCGTCTTGCCATACTTCTTTTGCAAAGTACCTGCTGCAGGAATCAAATGGGTATAATAAGTAAGTTAGAAAGTAAGTTGGACCACACCAAAAGTAAGTTAGGCTTGTGTGGTCCAGGATAGACGACTTTGAACAATTCGGTCGGCCACCGACACGTGCATTCCATTTCTCAAATATGGCTGGAACTCGTGGCAGCAATCTCAGTATTCGATCCGATCTATAGCACCGTGCTACTACATAAATAGTGCAAAATATTTGCCATATGTATAAAACACTTAGCTAGTAAGAGCATCTTCTGTTATTTCGTTTGTTGGTGCTACTTCCGAACACGACCGCATGCCCCACTTACCGAATTAAGACTTGCAGAATTGAAAGTAATGCGGAAGAAGACTGCCTGGAGGAATCCATACTTGTTCGATATGCCCATTTGTTGCATCGTATGACCACCCAAGGTTTTAGTATTGCAGCATCAACTCTGCGAGCGCAGCGCAGCTTCCGCAAATTGAAAAGAGACGCCGGCAGCATTGAAGTCTGCCTTTGGTTTAGAACTCCAGGCTTTCAGAGCGGCGACTATGTTTGACCTGTATTGCCGTCTTGCATCACATCCTTTGTGAACTACTGGGTACAAGATTCAAATGGATATGGAAAGGAAGTTGGACTTGTGTGACCAGATAGAGAACTTGAACAACTCGGTGAATCACGGCACTTCCGTTCCATTTTTCAAATACCTCTGGAATTTGGACAGTAGCCGCAATGTTCGATCTGATCTGTAGCACCGTAAACAATTTGTGAATGCATTTTCGGTTGTTCCCCTTGGTGCTGGTTTCGAACACGACCGCAAACTGCCCACTTACAGAATTGATGCGTACAGAATTAAGAGCAATGTGAAGGAATATAGTCAGCAAGTGTAATCACTTGTAAAAGTGCATGTTTCAAGCAGGATAAGTGACTTGGACTGTAGTTTTCCAACAACACACGAATTTCTGACAGCAATCTCCTCCACGGCTGCAAGATACCAATCTCTGCTCAAATCCTTTTCACATCCTTTTCAAACTCAGCCATGGCGTAGCAGCCAATACACTGGCAACGCAGCCCGGAATCTTGCCTTCCAGCTGGTACTCCATGCAATACTTGTCCATGGCCTGCAACCAACCCTCCATCTGGATACCAGGAATGGCCGGTGTGTAGCGAATGTAGGTCGCCCCCGGGGCACCTTTCTCCACTTCCTGTCGGTTTTTGTCAAACCAACCCCCGGACCAGTTGGGGAGCCCACCTCTGAAAATCCACGTCTGGTGGCTGAGCAGCAACTGCACGTCTGCATCGTTGACGCCTCGCACTATCAGCACCGGTCGGCGCTCCGCTGTGCCAAGGGACAGGAAGTGAATGGGAGCGTTGACCACGGAGCAACTGTGAACTTCAAGACCGGGCAGGCTGCTTCCTCCAAGCCATTCCTGCAGGTCCTGATTGCTGCTGTTGTGAACAATCACACTGTACAAGGGCATACCTGCAGCTGCCCGATGGAGCAAAAAAAATTCCATCAGACTTAAGCAGTTGTCTGCCTCACCACAGCCCAGAAGTGTCTTGATGTACCGCGGCGGCGGTCCGATTCGGCAAATCACACGGTAGGTTTCAAGGAGTGTAGAATCTGTGATGTTCTCGCTGGTCAGATAGGCGGCCCAATTCTCCTTGAAACGTTTCTCATCGTACTCAAAACCCACAGCAATGCCCTCCAGGGATGAATCAAAGTGCTCGTTGAGCAGGCTCGCATTCTCGGTTAGCATATAGACAACAGCAGACAAGTGTCCAGGCTGATGAAGAACAGCTCCACCTGGAGCCCCAATCACTCCAGCAAGCGTAACTCGCTGCGGCCGCAGAACTCGCTTCTTTGGAGATGCCAAAGCCTGGCTAGCGGGATCACAAGTGTGCCACTAATCTTTGTATAAACAGCAGGCAGCACGAAATTTTCGTCATGTCGGACAGACTGGTCTATTTCGAAGATATGGATGTGCTTCTCTATTCAAGGTTTGCACATGCATAGCTGCACCGTGAATCTCATAGCATGCCTGAACCAAAGAACCACGAGAGGTGGAAAGCGCGGTCGTTGCCGGGGAAGAAGACGGGCTAACCTGACCCGCAAATGGACACTCTACCCTCTTATAGGCCTATTTAGAAGCGATGCTTCTCTACTCAAGGTTTGGATGTGCGTAGCCACACCATGGATTATCTGCCTGAACCAAAGAACCAGAGCTGACCAATCCAGTCGTCGCCGGACCAACAGACGGGCTTACCTGACCAAGGAACAAACTTCCCGACCAGGTAAGACACTTCATTATCCTAGAGTGGTCTTTGCTTGGTTGCCTCTGCGGCTGTTCCTGCTGCAAACTTGAGAATTGCCAAGCTCCAGCAAACACTCAAATCCAAAGGGGCACTCCATCAGACTATAATACTCTCTGCTTGCTTGCCTCCAGAGCTGTTCCCGCTGCAAACGCGGGACTTACTGCGCTTGCGAACTCGAGTGTTGTTGGGCTCACCTGAGAAGAACACCAACACCAACGCAGAATTCAAAAGCAGGTAAGCGTTTCACCACACTATAAACTGGTTAGCAAGGCATCTAACCAATGGCGACGTTGGTCTCTGCAATTTCTGTAGCATACGCAGTCTAGGTAACATACTTGTCTATCTCTTGGCCCATCACCCAAGCACCGGGAAGCGCCGTTGTTGGCAGGGCTGCCTCCGCACTGTTTGCTACTGACAATGTTAGAGTCTGGCGCATTGAAACAGAGGTACTTCAACTTCTATGGGTTATCCACGATATTTACTCAAACTATAATCTGTGTACGCACCTCCGCCTCCATCACTGTTTCTGCTGCTGGCTTGGACACAGATGGGCTTGCCTGAAGGCTGCAGGCTTGGACACAGATAGACTTGCTTGAGGCGAAGGGAGCTCCAGATCTGTGAGTAAATACTGTTGGAAGCATACGGCTTGATTGCCTCCACAACCAGTCCTGCTGCAGCTTCAGCAGGAGCAGAGCTTGCCTGCAAGAGAGACAGACTTCATCAAGAGCATTCGTACCTAAGAGGCGCTTCACGAAACTAGGGCTAATTGGCAAGAACTGCCTTGCCTCGACCGCGATTCCTGCTGCAGACTTGCGAAGTGACGGGCTTGCCTGCGAAGAACTTCAACAGGGCACTCAAAACCATGCAAGTATTTCACCAGATTCTACTCGTTGCCAGGGAAAACTGTTCTGTCTCGAGTGTGTATATCTGACACAACGCACTAGCCTCGGCAGCTGCAGAGGGAGAGACACTGCTAGCTACTGATAATGTTGCAGCCTGGCAAGTTGTAACAATGGTGCTTCACCTTCTGCGGGTTACTCAGTGTATTCACTCAAACTGCAGTCTGTAGAATTGCCTCCGCCTCCATCACCGTTTCTGTTCCAGGCTTGCACACAGATGGGCTTGCCTGAAGGGGCTGGTTCCAGATCTGATGGCACAATTATATGAAGTTGAACGGTTTCGAGCAAAACAGTTCAAGTATCGTATTTTTTGTACGATCAGCTACTGATACTTCTCTCCAACTTAATTCTTTTACTATTGAAAGAGATGTGCGCAGTGATGATTGCTCCGTATTATTTTTCAGAGTTCTTACACTGATTGGCCCTACTCTCTCGTACTCAATTTTGTCTTTGTACTTTTCTAGTATGTGTCCCGTAAAATACAGAGGTACCCAGATCTGCGACAAATGCAAGCACAGCGAAGTTGAGTGGTTGATAGTGGTTGCCTCCACGACCATACCCGCCGAAAGCTCCGAACAAGAAGAGCTTCCCTGCAGGACGGCACTAAGTGGCAAAGACTAAACTGTTCCTGCTGCTTGTTTAAACAAGGAATAGACTTCCGCAAACATTCAAAGCTCAATGTATACTGCACCTATCAGAGCGTTCTCTCACCAATGCCTCCACAACCGCCCATGCTGCAGACTTGACACTTGATGAGCTAACCTGACAAAAAAAACTGTGACTGTCCCTGCATATGCCATCACCATAGACACTCGAAGAGGCTAGTATCAAGAAGGGAAAAAAAAGATAGGTAGACGGAAAAATAGCTGCTTCCCAGACCCGGGGGGGGAGGGGGGGGGTCCTAGGTCTGTAAACAACTAGGAATAGGGTATGATTTATAATACTACCGTGCTCAATCGTATACTCAACCGTGCTCAATCGTATACTCAACTCGCTTTCGCTAAGGGAATCTTAAGTTGAACCAGTGCTACAACTATGCATAAATTTCTCAATACTTTTATGGATTTGTTTCCCGTCTCTACAACCAGAAAGCCTTTCATTGGTAATACTTGCCACGTCTATGGGACACACTGTCTCTTCGACTGATGATCATTTCACCAAATTCTACTCGTTGGCCAGGGAAAACTGTTACGTCTCGAGCGTGTATATCTGACACAACGCACTAGCCTCGGCAGCTGTAGAGGGAGAGACACTGCTAGCTACTGATAATGTTGCAGCCTGGCAAGTTGTAACAATGGTGCTTCACCTTCTGTGGGTTACGCAGTGTATTCACTCAAACTACAGTCTGTAGAATTGCCTCCGCCTCCATCACCGTTTCTGTTGCAGGCTTGCACACAGATGGGCTTGCCTGAAGGGGCTGGTTCCAGATCTGATGGCAAAATTATATGAACTTGAAGAGGCTAGTATCAAGAAGGGAAACAAAAGATATGTAGACGGAAAAATAGCTGCTTTCCAGACCCAGGGGGGGAGGGGGGGGGGTCCTAGGTCTGTAAACGACTAGGAATAGGGTATGATTTATAATACTACCGTGCTCAATCGTATACTCAACTCGCGTTCGCTAAGGGATTCCTAAGTTGAACCAGTGCTACAACTATGCATAAATTTCTCAATACTTCTACTGCACTTTTATGGATTTGTTTCCTGTCTCTACATCCATAAAGCCTTTCATCGGTAGTACTTGCCATGTCTATGGGACGCACTGTCTTTTCGATTGACGATCATTTCATCCAATTCTACTCGTTGGCCAGGGAAAACTGTTCTGTCTCGAGTGTGTATATCTGACACAACGCACTAGCCTCGGCAGCTGCAGAGGGAGAGACAGTGCTAGCTACTGATAGTGTTGCAGCCTGGCAAGTTGTAACAATGGTGCTTCACCTTCTGTGGGTTACTCAGTGTATTCACTCAAACTACAATCTGTAGAATTGCCTCCGCCTCCATCACTGTTTCTGTTGCAGGCTTGCACACAGATGGGCTTGCCTGAAGGGGCTGGTTCCAGATCTGATGGCACAATTATATGAAGTTGAACGGTTTCGAGCAAAACAGTTCAAGTACCGTATTTTTTGTCCGATCAGCTACTGGTACTTCTCTCCAACTTAATTCTTTTACTATAGAAAGAGATCTGCGCAGCGATGATTGCTCCGTATTATTTTTCAGAGTTCTTACACTGATTGGCCCTACCCTCTCGGACTCAATTTTGTCTTTGTACTTTTCTAGCATGTGTCCCGTACTTTTCTAGCATGTGTCCCGTAAAATACAGAGGGGTACCCAGATCTGGAACTTGCTACAAATGCAAGCACAGCGACATTGAATAGTAGCTAGTGGTTGCCTCCACAACCATGCCCGCCGAAAGCTCCGATCGAGAACAGCTTCCCTGCACGACAGACACTAAGTGGCAAAGACTAAACTGTTCCTGCTGCTTGTTTCAACAAGCAATAGACGTCCTTAAACATTCAAAGCTCAATGTTTTCTCACCAGTGCCTCCACAACCGCCGCTGCTGCAGACTTGACACTTGATGGGCTAACCTGACGAAAAAACTGTGACTGTCCCTGTATCTGCCATCACCATAGACAATCGGAGAAGCTAGTATCAAGAAGGGAAAAAAGATATGTAAATTGAAAAATAGCTGCTTCCCAGACCCGGGGGGGTAGGGGGGGGGGTCCTAGGTCTGTGAACGACTAGGAACGACCGGGGCTAGGCCAATCGCCTCCATAGCTGTTCCTGCTGGAACCTTTGAAGTCGTCGCACAAGATGAGCTGGCCTGAACGAGTGAGTTGCTAGAAAACAACCGCGCCGGAAACGCAAAATTTATCCGTGCGCCTACCTCTACCACTGCTTCTGCTGACACCTTCGAAGAAGATGAGCCTGCCTGAACAAGAAACAAGCCCAAGCAAGCCCCTCACAGCCATGCGGACGCTTCACGACACAACACCTGCTTGCAAAATTTCTTCGGATACCCGTTTTCATGGCCTGCCTCTAGCGTCAAAGGGGTGCCAAGGGCTTGTAGTGCTGCCTCATATAAACACCCCCCCTGACAACAGTAATTGTCACACTGCCCACACGAGCCTTCACATCCGCAGCAGCTGCACTGGATAAATGTGGCAAAGCGGCCTCAAACTCAAGTATCGAAAAGATATCTGACATCACAATTCAAAGCAGTACATTTGGCACCTGCAACGACATGACCACGTCCAAAGCAGGTAGCATAGTTTCTGCCTGCCAACAAAATATTCTCTCTCGTTTCCAACAACCATACCCTGAATCATTCGCCAACCCCCACCTTCACACTTGTGGGCACTGCGAGGTTGCCACTCACAGAGCTGCTCTCGGTGCCCGTGGCAACAACCGGACTTTCTGGGTTGGTCTCCTCGACCTCCAGTCCAAGTGTTCAGAGCAGCAAACTGACCGAATGATCCCAACTTGGGCAATATTCCCCGAGCGACACTCCTCTCACTGCCCACAAGCAAGTTTTTGTTTTCCCTCGTAACAAACTGGCTCCCAAGCAGAGATCGGGTAGCGAACCCGGCCTTGGTCTTTTTTGATCTCTTCTTGGGTTCCTCGGCACCTTTTTTTGTATCGTTTGCACGCCGGCCCATGGTGCCACACAAGCAAACGAGCGGACCCCAAACACTCAGCCGAAAGTTTGAGGTAGACTTACTGTAACAGTCATGCCAGTGCAATGCAATAACAGTCAGGCCAGTGGCAAGTAATGACAGCAAGCATGGTAAAGTTCCTTGTCCGCCCGCATCAAACAAACACTTCTTTTCGCAAGCTCTGTTCCAGCAGTCTCCCTTCTGTCAACTCAACGCGCGAGTCAAGAAATCCCGGAGGAAATCATCGGTTTTACTCGCTACATCGCACTGCCCGTCTGCAAAATGCTCGCAATACAACTGCCATGCTGTTGCAAGCCCTTCCCTGGCCTCAGGATCCAAAAAGAAAAACAATGACTAATGCACTAGGGCATACCTCGCCAGTAGGGTCCTTTTATACAGCTCAAAACACCAAATCAGGATTAAACTGGTGTTTTGCAGGGTTCCTTTGCACAGCTGCGAGTCATTGAGTGAGAATGCCGATCAGTGAATCAGCCCATCACTAACAGCAGCTCGTTTTTGATCCACACAAAAAATGTGCTTTTAATGGGGGATGGGGCGATTCAATAACCATCAACAATCAATCAATAACCATCAATAACCAAAACCATCAATAACCAATCAATAACCAATCAATAACCAATCAATAACCAATCAATAACCATCAATAAGCATCAATAACTAACCAATCAATAACCATCAATTAGCATCAATAACCATCAATAACCATCAATCAGCTCAAAATAACCATCAATAACCAATCAATAAACCAATCAACAAGAGAGTTTTTTTATGGTACAATTGCTTCGAAAACATTTCTGGATTCTTGGACAAGCCGTGATTCTTCACCGAATACTGGGACCAAAAAAGGCCAAGAGGCCGAGAAAATGAGCAGTTCACCCACAGGAGACAGAAGTCTGGATTGTGATTCTCACCCAACCACTTAACTTGTCATTTGTAGTATCGAACCATCCGCAAGTTTTGACGCATCCCAATTTTTCAAACACATCTTGAACGTTAAAAGCGAACGTGTGAACTCGCACCCCCCCAATATACAGCAAGCATCAAGTTTGATGCTAAATTGATAAGCACACGCTGCAGGTCCCCAAATCCAGGAATAGATGGAGTCTGGATGATTGTCCCAAATTGATCACCGTCTAATTTAACCAATGATGTACCACGTGTGAATCCCAACGAGAATAGACGAAAACGATGATTGCAACAACAATATGGGTTGGTCTGAAAATAAGCTACCCAAGATCTCTTGGTCGATGATCATTCTCTCACTGAAATAGCCATTTGGGGGTTCCTCCATGTAAGGACCAAGCAAAATCATCAAAATCCAATAAACTGTTGTTGGTGAAAACTGCTTGTTTTTCCTGGTGAAAACCTCCTTTCTTCATGGATACAATATCATTTGTTCTTTTTTTTAGTCATCTCAACTCTCCATGTTTTCTTAGCAACAACTCTTCCACAAAGGTAAAAGGATCACTTCAGAACACACTCTCAGGCATCACTTCAGAACACAGCCATTTTGGATCACTTCAGAACACAAAATAACACAACTCATGGAAACCCCGACATACACACACACATCAGATTTACTGACAGGCGCGAGACTTTGGAAGAAAAACGCGTTCCAAAGCGACACCAACACAAAAAACATCCTCCTATGAGAATTTGACTCGTTTCAACCAGGTCATAAAGTCCCACGCCTGCCACGTAAAAGGACAGTCGATGTACAAAAGTGCCATACCTGCCACACAAAATGAAGGTCGATGTAAAAAGGTCCCACGCCTGCCACAGAAAATGAAGGTGAAGATATGAAATAAAAGCCTTGTTGTACTTGATGTAAGAAGCCTTGTTGTACTTGATGTAAGAAGAGCAACGAGACCTTTAGGATTTATATGTTGTTGCACTTGATGTCAGGACTGCCACGACACCTTTAGGGTTTACATGTTGTTGCACTTGATGTAAGGACTGCCACGACATCTTTAGGGTTTATATGTTGTTGAACTTGATGTAAGAAGAGCCACGATACCTTTAGGGTTTGTATCTTGTTGCACTTGATGTAAGAAGAGCCACGGCACCTTTAGGGTTTATATCTTGTTGAACTTGATGTCAGAAGAGCCATGACACCTTTAGGGTTTATATCTTGTTGCACTTGATGTAAGAAGAGCCATGGCACCTTTAGGGTTTATATTTTGTTGCACTTGATGTCAGAAGAGGCACGACACCTTTAGGGTTTATATGTTGTTGAACTTGATGTAAGAAGTGTCACGACACCTTTAGGGTTAATATCTTGTTGCACTTGATGTAAGAAGAGCCATGACACCTTTAGACATCTTTAGGGTTTATATGTTGTTGAACTTGATGTAAGCAGAGCCACGACACCTTTAGGGTTTGTATCTTGTTGCACTTGATGTAAGAAGAGCCACGGCACCTTTAGGGTTTATATCTTGTTGCACTTGATGTCAGAAGAGCCATGATACCTTTAGGGTTTATATCTTGTTGCACTTGATGTAAGAAGAGCCACGGCACCTTTAGGGTTTATACCTTGTTGCACCTGATGTAAGAAGAGGCACAACACCTTTAGGGTTTCTATGTTGTTGAACTTGATGTAAGAAGTGTCACGACACCTTTAGGGTTAATATCTTGTTGCACTTGATGTAAGAAGAGCCATGACACCTTTAGGGTTTGTATCTTGTTGCACTTATGTAAGAAGAGCCACGACACCTTTAGGGTTTATACCTTCTTGCACTTAATTTAAGGAGAGCCACGACACCTTTAGGGTTTATATTTTGTTGCACTTGATATAGAGCCACGACACCTTTAGGGTTTATATCTTGTTGCACTTCATGTAAGAAGAGCCACGACGCCTTTAGTGTTTATATCTTGTTGCACTTGATGTAAAAAGAGCCACGACACCTTTAGGATTTATATCTTGTTGCACTTGATGTAAGGAGAGCCACGACGCCTTTAGGGTTTATATCTTGTTGCACTTGATGTAAGAAGAGCCACAGCACCTTTAGGGTTTCTATCTTGTTGCACTTGCTGTAAGAAGAGCCATGACACCTTTAGGGTTTATATCTTGTTGCACTTGATGTTAGAAGAGCCACGGCACCTTTAGGGCTTATATCTTGTTGTACTTGATGTAAGAAGAGGCACGACACCTTTAGGGTTTTATGTTGTTGCACTTTATCTAAGGACTACCACGACAACTTTAGGGTGTATATCTTGTTGTATACTTGATGTAAGGAGTGCCACGACACCTTTAGGGTTTATATCTTGTTGCACTTAATGTAAGAAGAGCCACGACACCTTTAGGCTTTATATCTCGTTGTACTTGATGTAAGGAGAGCCACGACACCTTTAGGGTTTATATCTTGTTGTAGTTGATGTAAAAAGAGCCACGATGATGATGATGATGATGATGATGACGAAAACGATGATGATGATGATGATGATGATGACGATGACGATGATGATAATGATGATGATGATGATGATGGTGGTGAGGAGGTGCGTTCAAAAGCGATGCATGAGAGCGCGTTCCGAAGCGATGCCTGAAGACGCGTTCCGAAGCGAGGCCCTTACCCTCAACAAATGTTTTAGATCGAAATCTCAGGAGTCTTCCCCAATCTTGCTGCCCACCTGCGCGACTTCCAGAGATTCCTCCAACTTCACCACCTCCTCCCGGCGCTGCTCCAGTTGCACCTGTTGCTCCGCCAGCTCCTCACGGAGAATCAGCGGAGGTTTTACGGTCGAAAATTGGGCGAGGGATTTCATGCGGACGCAGTGATCAAAAATGGTGATTTATAGTGGATTTACCCATTGAAAATGGTGATTTTCCATAGTTATGTTAGTTTACCAGAGAGTAATATAGGGGGATAGGAATATTATGGAATATTCATGTATATATAGAATCGGGAAAATTTCAGAGGAGAATATAGTGGGATAGGAATATTCATAGAATCTGGGAATCTGGTAATATAATATGGTAATGTTGACTGGGATGAAGTTACTAATGATAATAGCAGCTGATAAAGGATGTTTTGTGAGAATTTAGCATCATATGTGCCCCAGTTTTCATATTAGAGATGTTCACTTGAGCCGGTTAAGCTTCACCTCTGCCAAAGTTGAATCACGCATTTTGATTGAATTTATTGGCTGAACATCTAAAATCTAACGCTTTTCCCAGCTGGAATTCCCTATTTCTCCAACCAAACTCCCACCTTTCGTTCAAAACCATCCCAACCTTTTCCAAGTCCAATTTTCCCATTTTTCTCCACGGTTTCCCCAGGTGTTTCCACCTTTTTCCCTCCAAACTCCCAGTGTTTTCCCCGTTGCGTTGCCTTGGCCATGGCCTCCTTGGCCTCATCCATGGCGCCAGCCGAAACGCTGCCGTAGTTTAACCGTTGCTCCAGGGAACGCAGCTCCAAAGTCACCACCTGGGGGGAGAGACGACAAGATGAATCCATGGGATAGATATATATGGCAGTGTGTCAAAACCTTGTACCCCTGTAGTTCACATCAAAATAGCTGGGATTTATGGATGTTCATTCCCCTAAAAATGGTATTAATAGGTATTGATCCATACCAATATATGTTAATGGTATCATAACATGACTATGGAAAATCACCATTTTATCCCTCTGGTCATGTGGGCCATTTTATCCCTCTGGCTATATCAATGGTATAATATTCCCTCTGGTAATTTACCAGTTCGCTATTGAAAATGACCATAGAAATAGCGGATGTTCCCATGGAAAAATAGAAAGCTGAAAACCCAGAAAATACCCTCTGGTAATGACTAACATCACGAACTGGAAAGATCCACCATGCTATTAATGGGATTAATGGGTAAATGCACGTGTGTCAAGATGACCAAGTAGTACAACGAACCCAAACAATAGTCTGTCTAATGGTCTTGCCTCTACCACCGTTTCTGCTGCAAGCTTCGACACAGATGAACTTGCCTGAGGGAGCAAGGGCTCCAGATCTATGAGCAACTACTGGTTTGATCTCCAACAATACAACAGTGCTGCTGCCTGTCATGTTGCAATACTACAACAACAATGCCACGTGTAACTTCAAACTTTGTGCCTTCGTAGCTGTTCCTCCTGTTGCCTGGAAAGAAGATGGGCTTGTCTAAAGAAGGCACAAGCTCCAGCAAACATTCAAATCCAAACCGACACTTCACAATGCTATAGCATTCTCGTTCTCTCACCAGTGCCTCCACAACCGCCCCTGCTGCAGACTTGACACTTGATGGGCTAACCTGACCAAAAAACTGTGACTGTCCCTGCATGTGCCATCAGAATAGACAATCGGAGAAGCTAGTATCAAGCAAGGGAAAAAAAGATATGTAAATGGAAAAATAGCTGCTTCCCAGACCCGAGGGGGGAGGGGGGGGGTCCTAGGTCTGTGAACGACTAGGAACGACCGGGGCTAGGCTAATCGCCTCCATAGCTGTTCCTGCTGGAACCTTTGAAGTCGTCGCACAAGATGAGTTGGCCTGAACGAGTGAGCTGCTAGAAAACAACCGCGCCGGAAACGCAAAATTTATCCGTGCGCCTACCTCTACCACTGCTTCTGCTGACACCTTCGAAGAAGATGAGCTTGCCTGAACAAGAAACAAGCCCAAGCAAGCCCCTCACAGTAGGCTGATCGCCTCTATAGCTGTTCCTGCTGGAACCTTTGAAGTCGTCGCACAAGATGAGCTGGCCTGAACGAGTGAGCTGCTAGAAAACAACCGCGCCGGAAACGCAAAATTTATCCGTGCGCCTACCTCCACCACTGCGTCTGCTGACACCTTCGAAGAAGATAAGCCTGCCTGAACAAGAAACAAGCCCAAGCAAGCCCCTCACAGCCATGCGGACGCTTCGCGACACAACACCTGCTTGCAAAATTTCTTCGGATACTCGTTTTCATGGCCTGCCTCTAGCGTCAAAGGGGTGCCAAGGGCTTGTAGTGCTGCCTCATATAAACACCCCCCCTGACAACAGTAATTGTCACTCTATCCACACAAGCCTTCACATCCGCAGCAGCTGCTCTGGATAAGTGTGGCAAAGCGGCCTCAAACTCAAGTATCGAAAAGATATCTTATATCATAATTCAAATCAGTACATGTGGCACCTGCAACGACATGACCACGTCCAAAGCAGGTAGCATAGTTTCTGCCTGCCAACAAAATATTCTCTCTCGTTTTCAACAACCAAACCCTGAGTCATTCGCCAACCCCCACCTTCACACTTGTGGGCACTGCGGGATTGCCACTCACAGAGCTGCTCTCGGTGCCCTTGGCAACAACCGGACTTTCTGGGTTGGTCTCCTCGACCTCCAGTCAAAATCTGTGCACGCACCTCCGCCTCCATCACTGTTTCTGTGGCTGACTTGGACACAGATGGGCTGGCCTGAAGGCTGCAGGCTTAGACACAGATAGACTTGCTTGAGGCGAAGGGAGCTCCAGATCTGCGAATTGCTACTCTTGCGAGCGCACGACGAGTCAGTTGATTGCCTCCACAACCATGCCTGCTGCAGCTTCTGAAGGGGTAGCCTTTGCCTGCAAGGAAGACAGGCTGCACCAAAAATGTGCCACGAAGCTACTCAAGAGCCATTCCACAAAGCTAAGACCAATTGGCAACAACTGGTTTGGTCCCCAAGAGTACAACACTGCTGCAGCCTGTCACATTGCAACAAGGCTACTTGTGACTTCCAACACCGCGACACCGCACGGAGAACTCAAAGTATCACTTGCGCCTTTGCAACTGTTCCTGCTGTTGCCTGGAAAGAAGATAGGTACTCAACAAGGAACAAGCTCTTGCCTGGAAAGAAGATAGGTACTCAACAAGGAACAAGCTCCAGCAAAAATTCAAATCCAAACGGATGCTCCACTATTCTATGGCATACTCTGCTCTCTGTAGCGGTTCGTGCCATAGACATGAGGATTCACGACCTTACCAGTCTGGATTGCAGGTCTAAAAATTGGACACAAATCGTTGCCTCCACATCTGCTCCTGCTGCATGCGGTGCTGCTGACGCTTGAGGCGAAGGGAGCTCCAGATCTGCGAATTGCTACTCTTGCGAGCGCACGACGAGTCAGTTGATTGCCTCCACAACCATGCCTGCTGCAGCTTCTGAAGGAGTAGCCTTTGCCTGCAAGGAAGACAGGCTGCACCAAAAATGTGCCACGAAGCGACTCAAGAGCCATTCCACAAAGCTAAGACCAATTGGCAACAACTGGTTTGGTCCCCAAGAGTACAACACTGCTGCAGCCTGTCACATTGCAACAAGGCTACTTGTGACTTCCAACACCGCGACACCGCACGGAGAACTCAAAGTATCACTTGCGCCTTTGGAACTGTTCCTGCTGTTGCCTGGAAAGAAGATAGGTACTCAACAAGGAACAAGCTCCAGCAAAAATTCAAATCCAAACGAATACTCCACTATTCTATGGCATACTCTGCTCTCTGTAGCGGTTCGTGCCATAGACATGAGGATTCACGACCTTACCTGTCTGGATTGCAGGTCTAAAAATTGGACACAAATCGTTGCCTCTACATCTGCTCCTGCTGCATGCGGTGCTGCTGACGCTCTCTGCCGAAGAGCGGGTTGCCTTGACCGGCCACAACCAAAATTACCTGTAACAACGTGAAACAACCTTCCTTGCGGACACAGCACAGAAATGGCCGAGCTTTCTTTGGAAGAGATGGCGGCCTTAGCTCTGATAGAAGAGTTGCTAAAGCCAAAACATTGTAAGCCATAAGCAATTGGCTTGACCAACTGTAACCAAAACTGCTTGCAACAACGTGAAACAACCTTACTTGCGGACACAGCACGGAAGCGGTCGAGCTTTCTTCGCAAGCGGTGGCGGCCTTAGCAATGATACAAAAGTTGCCACAGCCAAAACATTAGAAGATATGGAGCACGCCCCCTTGCAGCCACAGCGCGCCAATCCAATTGGTAGCGCAGGGTTCTTTGGACGAACAGGTGGCCTGAACCACAACAAAAAACATCAAAAACCGTTTTTCTCCAGCCACCATGACTAACAACGTGCCAAAACAACACACTTGCAGACACAACACGCAAGTCCAATTGGAGTTGCAGTTCTTTTCGCTGGTGGCCGGAACCAAAACAAACAAGAGCAAAAACTTTGTTGCCTCAGTTGCCATGAATAACTCCCCAGTCATGAATAACAAGCAGCCGAAAAACACACTTGCAGACAAAGCACGCAAGTCCAATTGGAGGTGCCGCTCTTTTCACTGACCTCGTCTTGTTACAAACACCTACTAGAAACATCGCCTCTTCATAAGGCCTTCCTGACCGATTCCTGATACCACATGCCAACGCAACACCCCCAAATAACCACAATACTTCTCCTAGACAGAATCACCAAGTAACGAACGCGGCGGGAACACCGCCTTTGTCCTCGCCCCGAGACTTCTAGCCCCTGCAGCCCTTGGCCTCAACCGAAGACGCAAAGCATATTTCGAAACAATTACAAAACGCGAACCGCGTCACAACCGCGTCTCTGCAAACAGGGCACGGCAGGTCCGCGGAAGCAAACACTGTCAGCGGCGGCGGCGTGGAAGCACGGACCATGGCAATTTCTGCTACACGTCTTCTGCTTTCTGTAACACTTTCCTGTAGTTTCCTGCCTTCTCATTGTATTTTCTTCACCGGTTTCAACTACTTGTTTTCACTGCATTTGTAAACTCCATCATCACAGCAGCGGCACGCACGTTTGGACAGTTATTCAACACTGACAGCTGAACAGCAAAAACAACCACAGTTAGATAGATTTAATGCGCATCCCATCAATTGCTGAGGATGCCACAGCCACAGTCTACCACGACTGTATTTCGTACATCCACGCATAACCTATCCATCAAGCCAACTATTGTTTGTTTTGCAAAGTCTGCGGTGACTGAAAACAAATTCCCCTACACAGGATCAGTTGACGGAATCTGCTCAACTTTTTGCTTGAGATAATCCTTTGGTATTAAACCCTGTACCCAATGCCATTCCAGTTCTGAGGCTTGAGCACCCTACCGAACTCCTTGCTCTCAGAGCCCACGCATCGATCACGAACCAGCAGATGTTGCTTGAACCACACGCATCTCGGAGCTCACCAACCACACTCTATAGCTTATCCTATCTATCAGACCAGCATACCCAGAACAACAGTTTTCGAAACAGATCATCTAGCAGTTCTTTCACACCTTCGAAAGACGTCCCATTCACCAATCAAACGGAGATTTTCCTGCGCGCCACTGGTTTTTTCATCGTTTCCGCTCGTTAACAGTGTTTTGGTTTTCACTATATTTTTTTAAGCATTTTTAGTTATAACATTTTTCTTGGTTTTCACTGTATTTTTCTAACATGCTACATGCCTCCTAGCATGTTCACGTGTGTCCTTCATGTTGTACTATTTTCTACATCGTTTCCTCTAGTTGTTACAAGCATTTCCTAGCTTGTACACCGTTTTCCTAATATTGTCACAACTTTGCTTCCAGTTTCCACGGTTTTTTCTACCGTTTCCTGCGGTTACTTTCTTCTCTTTTCTAGGTTTTCAGGGCGTTTTGTCCAGCTTTTTTTATTACATGCTTCCCACCATTTTCACCGCTTTCCTCTATGGCTTTTTGTACCATTTCCTCTCGTTTCCTGCATTTCACGCATTTTCAATATATTTTGCCCAGAGTTTTACCCGTCTCCTTCAGTTTCCAATCGTTTTTGCACCATTTCCTCTGGGTGTTATCGCATGTTTCATTGTATTTTCCAATACATCCTCATGGTCTCTCCGGCCACCAAAAAGGCGGACCTAGGGGGAATCGATACCCCACCGTCAGCAAATTGCCTAGTGGTACATAGTCCAGCAAAATGCTCCGTTTTCTGGCGCTCCTCACAGCCTTACGGCGAGATTTTGTTCCCTTTCGGCAACCACTCCCCCCCACACCCCCTATTCTCACTTCGTTCGCAAACAGCAACTAGCCAGCTAGCTGGCTTTCGTAATTACGCAATGATTTGGAAAAAAATGACATCTTTCAGTTGAAACCGCGGGTTTTGACCACCAAATTTGCAGGGGTATCCTGATTTCTTTTGAGTTCAACCGCTTCCAGGAATTCCATCGGATTTTCGATCGGAGTGTTCAGCCGTTTGCCCTAAAGCGAAACAACAGGGGAACACATAGATTAACCTTGTCAAACCCAAGTTAAGTACTATTTCCACTGTCAGCCCCGCAAAACCCAAGCAAATGCATTGTTAGTATGGTTTTTCACTTAAAGAAGCCCTACATATGGCTGAAAATCGTAAACACATGGTGACTATAGCCCTCATGACAATTATAGCATCCAAGGTCCACGGTGGCTATATTGTGTCAAATCCCGATTTCTGGTGGTCATGATCACCACCAGAAAGCATGACTGAATTGTTAGAATGTCAGCGTGATGACTTACATGAGTATATCCATAAATCTGGTCGTTGGGGGTAGTTTTGCTTTCTAACCATTATGTACGGCAACATGATTAATCATAAATATCGTGATAGTTTACCTATATATAGATTCACATCTTCATACCCACGCCCGACCGCCATCATCCCAAAGTTTGAAACATCATAATTACATAATATATACCCGTGAGGTCCCATATGTAACGATAATGATATGATATACCATGCCATAATGAGGTACCTACCCATCGATGGCAAACAGTATCAGATCCCAATACTGCTAAAATTTGTCTAATACAAACCAATATCGACATCATCACATTAAATCCAAATCATGGTAAAACTCTGCCACAAATAATGTATGTAACATCTGGCAAACAAAGTCTTGGTAAATCATCGGAAAACCGTGAGTACTGATGATAATTCATTAAATTATGATAAGCTGATATTAATCATTGGCGACATATTCAATATCAAAACATCAGTAAACATCACGTAGATATCAACTAACATTAAAGGAAAAAAAAACAAACTCAGTATTTTTCAAATTGAAAATAATCAATACACATCATTAACCCTATATCTGTTACCCTCTGGTAATTTAACATAGCTATAGAAAATCACCATTTTTAATGGGAAAACTCACTATAAATGGCCATTTTCAATAGCTATGTTAGTTTACCAGAGGGTAACCCTACGTATATCTGTTAATGAGTATGATCAATGATCGAACTGTGCTGTTGGAACCTTGTGGAACCATTATTTATCAATAGCTATTGACGAATGATGCGTATATTTTCCCCATGAAAAATGACGAAATCGGCCACAAAATTGTGGAATCTTCGGATCTCTTCGGCCACATTGGAGATTACTGTAATGATATTGCTACTGATGGTAATAATGATATGACATATGACAATAACAACTGTTAATAACCAATCATAATTAACTATAAACTATCCATAAGAATAAGATTAGTCTGTCCATTTGCATGTTTAGTTGCCAAGGGGTAAACTTAGGAAAACACCCCAGAAAAACACGGTAGAACCATGGGAAAATCCCCTATAAATGGCGTTTCAAGTCTGGGGAAATCATTCAAACCTCGTGGGAGGATCAGCCATGTTTTGATTTACCAGAAGGTACCCTCTGGTAAACTAACATAGCTATTGAAAATCACCATTTTCAATGGGAAAATCCACTATAAATGGCCATTTTCAATAGCTATTTTGACATAACCAGAAGGTAACCTCGGTAAAATCCAGGCCGCTGCGGCTTCTCCCGCTTCTCCGATGGCTTCTCCGGTGGCTTCTCCGGTGGCTCCCAGCTGTCCCGCTCCAGGATCGCCTGCAGCGTGGGGTCGCTGGTGACGCGCCCGGCTTCCCAGTCCAGTCTGAAGGCGTGGATTCCTCAGACAATGGGGGGCTGGTCTGTGTTTTTTGTGCGAGCTGGGGGGGCAAATGATTTCGTCTGACTGAGTTCATTTATGTTCATTTATGTTCATTTGTTGGTAATATAATTTTGGGGTAACTTGTTGATATTGTAAAAATCTTCTCCTTGGGGGGAGCAATGCACTTAGTTTCAGGATTTTCTGGGAATCTCGGTGACGCCAACCCGCAGGCCGTGTTTAGTGCGTTGAAGTCATAGTTTGAGCACAGTTCTCCTGTATGGATATTTCATGCTTGAATATGGAAGAAACATGAATAACATGAATAACATGAATAACATGAATAACGTGAATAACGTGAATAACGTGAATAACATGAATAGCAAAAAAGAACAGCCCAAGATAGTCACACCCAAGGCCCAAGATAGTCACATAAATATACATAAATATGAAATGGAGTGAAAACTGTGCCAAAAAAAACAGTAATTAACCACATAAAATCAGAGGCCATGGGATGGACATAGGGGAGCACGGCCGTAACATTCTACAGGTCACCTACCATTTTCATTGGTGTAACACTATGTGTATCTGATCAAATCTAATCTAAGTGTACATGAATCTTTACATGTACATATATCATCATATATCATCATATATCATCATATATCATCATATATCATCATATATCATCATATATCATCATATATCATCATATATCATCATATATCATCATATATCATCACATATCATCATATCATATATCATCATATCACATCATATATCATCATATATCATCATATATCATCATATATCATCATATATCATCACATATCATCATATATCATCATATATCATCATATATCATCATATATCATCATATATCATCACATATCATCATATCATATATCATCATATATCATCATATATCATCATATATCATCATATATCATCATATATCATCATATATCATCACGTATCATCATATCATATATCATCATATATCATCATATATCATCACATATCATCATATATCATCATATATCTATATATCCTACGCATATCGATATTCTTCATCTAAATAGTTCTGCCTTCGTAGCGCTGATGCCCTGGACATCCCTGGACTCAGCAGTTCCATCCGATGGCAGCCACTCCCTGGGTCGCCGCACGTTTGATTCTCTGCAACTTTGGTACGCCCTGAGGTCCGACTTTGGGTCGTTGTCAGCAGGATGGAGACCAAACAATGACACTAATATGTTTCGAGCAACAATCCTAAAAGGAACACACACGTGTGTTATGTACTATGTATATAGTAATTATATATATACACAGAAATGTGAGGTACGATTTCCGACATCACATTTCCTATGCTTCGTGTCTCTCTCACATTCTCCCACGGCGGCCGAGTAGCGTGAACGTCATTGACTTTACACCAGGCTTTCCTGGGCGAGGGAATCATCGTTCTGTCCATCTATCTATTCTTATCTAGTCTAGTCTAAGCTAGCGCAATCTAATCTAGAATTTGAATGAATTTAACATAGTTTAATCTAATCTGATCTATCTAGTCTATCTACCCTATCTAATCTATCCTATCTTTCTCATCTATTGATTTCTTAGCCTATCTCATCTCTCTAATCTATTCTATCTAATCTATTCTTTCTGCATCTTTCTGATCTATCAAAATATCTAATCCAATCCAACCCAATCCAATCTATCAATCAATCTACGGATCTTATCATGTATTGTGTTTTTCTTAGCTTATATTATTTTG